CTCAGCCCCACGGGGCCATCGCCAGGCCCATCACCATCAAAATACGACTCGAGGCGAAAACTTGGGCTTGGGAAAAAGGGTCCGGACTGCTGGGGGCCCCGTATAGAACAAAAGTCCGATCTGATGGACGGTGACGACTTTGACGACGTTGAGAGCCTTGACGAGAGCGCCTGGGGAAAAGGGTCGGGAAAACGACGAGGGCCTGTGGAGCAGGACTCCTGGGAGCCCCGTATGGAGCAAAACTCCGATTTGATGGATTGTGGCGGTTTTTACGTGACGAAAATGACGAGGACTGATGGGCCTGTTTTCCACCACCACCACCACCACGATCAGTTGGGGGGGGGGGAGGAGGAGCAGGAGGAGGAGGAGGAGGAGGAGGAGGAGGAGGAGCAGGAGGAGGAGGAGGAGAGAGGAGGAGGCAGAGGAGGGAGGAGGAGAGCGGGAGGAGGAGGAGAGGAGGAGGAGGAGGAGGACCCCCTCCCCCTCCAACTCATGGTTGTGGTGGTGGAAGCCAGGCCCGTCGAGGACGAGGGCGGCGCCTCACGGAGGCCCCCCCCCCCGCCGAGGTGGGCCCACGGACGGGGCCCGAGGAGGCCTCCGCGGCGGGGGCACCCGCAGGACCCCCCCCCCCCCAGCCAGCAGGGCCTGCGCGAGCCCCTGGCATCCCAGGACGCCCCGGGAGGGCTGCCCCCTCCCTCCCTCCTCCTCCTCCCTCCTCCCTCCTCCTCCCTCCTCCTCCTCCCTCTCTCCCTCTCTCCCTCCTCCCCTCCCTCCTCCTCCTCCCTCTCCTCCCTCCTCCCTCCCTCCCTCCCTCCTCCCCCTCCCTCCCTCCTCCCTCCTCCCTCTTCCCTCCCTCCTCCCTCCTCCCTCCTCCCTCTCCGCCCTCCTCCCTCTCCTCCCTCTCCTCCCTCCTCCCTCCTCCCTCCCCCGGGCCCAGGATGGGCCAGACGGCCCGAGGGCTCGGGGGAACGGCCGGATCGCCGCATCCTCGCCGCCCCCGGAACCAAGACGGTTGGATTCTGGGACACGAGGTTGGCCTCGCTCGACTAGACGTAAGAGTGACCTTTCGCCGGAATGACCTTTGGTGCGGGCACAGATGGGTTCCCAGATGGCTGAAAACGAAGCAGGAGCAGCGGCTTGCGCGCCCAGATTTGGCTCGCCCGCGGCCCCCCAAAAGCCGCGCACCAAAGGTCACTCTCACACAGGGTCACTCTTGCGTGTAGCCGACTCGCCCGCAGTGAGGGCCACCAGGCCCAGGCGGAAAGGGAACGTGCGGCCACCGGCGACGTGCGACGGCGGCGGGCACGACGACGGCGCCCCAGAGGAGGCGGGGGGGGAAGGTCAAACGACGCGAAGATCGGGACAAAGTCGGATCGGGATAACTCGAAATCTCTGAGAATCGGCGGGTTTGGAGGATGTATTGGGCGCCGCGGCCGCTCCAGAGCGTTCCGGAACGCTCTGAGAGCGCTCCGGAACGCTCTGGGGCGATTTATCCCGATCCTAGCCCTGTTTTAGAAGGGGGGGAAACAGGGAGAACGGGCTTGCGCCTGCCATGTCTCAGGGCTGGACCTGAACGGTGTTTTGGCGATTTCGTTGGCCGCTTTCGCTTCGACTTCGTTCTGCGGCAGATGCGGACCGAAGACGAAACGAGGGAAAGCGAGAACACAACGAAAACGAAAAACACCGTTTAGGCTCAGGGCTGCCATGTCTCTTGGCAACTCGGCGGAAGTCAAGCGAACTCAGGGCCTGCGCCGTCGGCGCTTCGCGAACGTCGCCAGCATCGTGTTATCGCCACCGCCCGCCCCAGACCTTAGTGGGCCCTGGAAACGACAGGGCCGTTTTTTGCCGGTTCCGTTTGGCCGTTTCTTTGCCGGTTCCGACGCCGTTTTTGTTACCGGTTCCGTCGCCGTTTGTTGACCGGGTCCGGCTCCGGTTCCAATCCTGGAGCCGTTTTTGTTGCCGTTTCCGGTCGCCGTTTTTTTTGTTGCCGTTTCCATGTTCAGGGGACATTTTTTCTGGAAACGGTGAACAAAAAAAGACGGCCCTGCCGTTTCCGGGGCCCACAGAGCCTCAGACATTTGGCAGAGCCCCGAATCATCCGGGGTAGCTCGGGTCAGGGATAACTCGGGTTCCAATTTTTCGGGAATCCACACCCGAGTTACCCATCGGTCGTTGAAAGTAGGTATTTTTGGACTCCCAGATTCGAAAGAGCGTGTTCTACCGCTGCTGGCGGAAAACCGGGGGGGGTCACTACCGGTTCGAACCCCTCCCCCCCCCCTCCGGAAAACCGGGGGGGTCACTACCGGTTCGAACCCCTCCCCCCCCCCCCCCCTCATCATGAAAGGGGGGGGGGGTCACTACCGGTTCGAACCCCTCCCCCCCCCCCCCTCGAAAACCGGGGGGGGTCACTACCGGTTCGAACCCCCCCCCCCCTCGAAAACCGAGTGGGGGTGCGGACAGTGGTGGGGACGGTGTTGGTGGGGACAGTGGTGAGGGGATAGCGGGACAGTGGTGGGGACAGTGGGACAGTGGGACAGTGGTGGGGACGGTAGTGGTGGGGACAGTGGTGGGGACAATGGTGGGAACAGGGGGGGACAGTGGACAGTGGTGGTGACGGTGGTGGTGGGGACAGTGGTGTGGGGACAATGGGAATGAGGTGGAAACAGTGGGACAGTGGAGGGTACAATGGTGGTGGGGACAGTGGTGAAGGCGGTGGCGAGGACGGCGGTGGGACAATGGGACAGAGGTACAGTGGGGACAGTGGTGGGGACAGTGGGGACAGTGGTGGGAACAGTGGGACAGCTCAGTGGGACAGCGGAGGAGTCAGTGGGACAGTGGGGACAGTGGGGATAGTCGGGCAGTGGTTGGGGCCGTGGAGACAGTGGGGAGAGTGGAACCGTGGTGGGAACAGTTCTGGGGACAGCGGGGACAGTGCGACAGTGGTGGGGCCACTGGTGGGGACAGTAGGAGCGGTGGCGGAACCAGTGGGGACAGCGGTGGTGAGGACAGTGGTGCGGACGGTGGTGGGGACCGGGAGTCGTTTGCTGGCGGTGAGTAAGGGGGGGGGGGGGGGGGGGGGGGTGGGGGGGGGGGGGGGGGGGGGGGGGGAAACGCTGTACCGGGTCGAGCACCCCCACTGGGTTTTCCTCTTCCGGATCCGCAGGGGGGTGGGGGGGGGTGGGGGAGGGGTTCTGAACCGGTAGTGACCCCCCCCGTTTTCGAAGCCGGGGAGGGGGGGGGGGGGGGGAGGGTTATGGGGAGGAGGTGGTTTTTTTTTGCCGGGGAGGGGGGGGCGGGGAGGGTCGGGGGGGGGGGAGGGGGTCCACAGGGGGGGGGGGCTTTTCGGAGGTGGGGAGGGGGGGGGTGGCGACCCCCGGGTTCCAGAGGAAAAGGTTGGCAATTTTCCACAGTAAAGCGGCGGTGGATCACGCTCTCTCCCAGATTCCAATCCTTTTTGAGCGCCTTCCTACTTCAAGAGTCGAGTGGTGTTCCCTCTTCCCTCCTCTTCAGGAGGCGGGCGGAAACCCAATCTATTTCCAACGCCTTCCTACTTCATGTTTCTACCTACTTCTTCCGACCGATGGGTGCCCCGGACCCGAGTTGCCCCGGATAGCTCGGGCGCCCAGACATCTGGCCGCTCCAAGTTTTTCTCGAGGCGTGGGCCCCCGGGGGTCTGGACCGCTCTTTTGCCTGGTCGGCGGCTGCCGTCGGAATTTTTTGGTAGACCTCCTATACCCCGACACGTCGATGAGCAAATTGGCCGTTTTCGGCTCGCGAGAGGGCGTCGCGGCCGTCACTTTTGCGGCGTCCCGGGCCGTTTTCACTAAGGGGAGGTTTACCGCTCTTGCCTGGTCGCTCTTGCCTGGTCGGCGGCTGCAGTCGGTGTTTGACAGACCTCCTATACCCCGACACGTCGTTCCGCAAGTTGGCCGTTTTCGGCTCGCGAGAGTCAAGAGGGGAAGAAGCACACAGACACAATTACTCGTCGGCTCCCCAGAAAATGTGGGAGAACATGGGGAGTGGTGGGGAAGACGAAGACCCAGGAGATATGGGATAATATGGGGAGTCTTTTTATTTGTGTGTATTTATTTGTTTGTCCCAGGGCCCCTTCAGAGAGGGCGTCGCGGCCGTCACTTTTGCGGGTCCACCAGGTCCGTCGGTTTCGGTCCCGGGCCGTTTTCACTAAGGGGAGGTTTACCAGAGGGAGGTTTGTCCACCGCCGAAAAGGGGGGTGGCTTGTGATCGGCACCGTTTGGGCCCGGGGGGCACGACGCTGCGCTCCTCGGGCCTCCTCGGGGCGCGGGAGAACTTAATCGAGGTCCCCGCGCGCCCCCATAGGATGTCCCCCGGATGCTCCCCAGGGTGCCAGCTGCAAACCACACCCTTCGCAAACCACACCCTTTGGGGTCGCCGACCTGGGTCAGTGTTTCGTCATCCGATTTTTTTGCGACGGTCCCAGGGCCAGTGGCAGGCCCCTTGAGGCCGAAGACAGCCCCAGTATTGCCGCTCCAGTTTTTTGCCGGCGCCTCGGATCTCTCGTCTAGGCCTCCCAGATGGGGTCGGAGTAGATGGGGTCGCAGAATCGCGCAGCACCGGCGATGCGGCTCGATGCGGAGCCCGATGCACTTCACGTCGACGTCGCCGATGCATCGCCCATGCATCGGTGATGCATCGCCGATGTATTCGGCGATGCGGCGCGATCCTCCGATCCCATCTGCTCGGACCCCATCTTGGAGGCCTCTGGCCGGGAGGGGCACGGGGGGGAGCACCCCTCCTCGAGAGAAGCGTCCAGCTACAGAGCGTCAGCGTCGTCAGCGTCGTCGTCGTCGCCGCCGTCGCCGCCGTCGTCGCCGCTGTCGTCGTCAGCGTCAGCGTCGTCGTCGTCGTCGTCGTCGTCGTCGTCAGCGTCGTCGTCGTCGTCGTCGTCGTCCTCGTCATTGTCGTCGTCGTGTTCGTCGTCGTCGTCGCTGTCGTCGGCTCCGAGTTTTCGGGGCCCGCAGGCGGACGTGGACGCCTCGCGGCCCTGGCCGGCCCTGGAGGCGGCGCTCGGGGCGCTGCCGGCCGCCGCGCGGCGGCTGCAGGCGGCGCCGCGCTGCCGGCGCGCGGGGGCCCGGGGACCCGTCCGGGTGCCGAGCCCCACGGGAGCATCGAGGGTCGATCGAGCATCGAGGGTCGAGCATCGAGGATCGATCGAGGGTCGATCGAGGAACGAGCATCGAGCATCGAGCATCGAGCATCGATCGAGGATCGATCGAGCATCGAGGATCGTCGAGCATCGAGGATCGAGGATCGAGCATCGAGGGTCGGTCGAGGGTCGAGGATCGAGGATCGATCGAGGATCGGGCCGCGCCGGGGGCCCCGCGGGGCGCCGAGCCAGGTAGGCATAGGCGCCAGGCTCGAGGCTCGAGCTTCGTGCAGGCCTTCGCAGGCTCTCAGCCTCGGGATGTTCGGGCCGGACGACATGGGGCGGATTGGGTTTCACGCATGCAGCTTGTTTCAGCTGCATGCAGCTGGTTTCAGCCCCACCGAGGAGCCCATTCCTCGATGCATGGGCGCCTCTGGCGCCGGGAGGCGCCGCGAAACTCAGCTGCGCGAGCTGATTCTCACCCCCCCCCCTTTGCTATCCCCCCCTTTGGCCCGGCCCGAGGTGCCTTCCACGAGCTGCGCCCCGCCGAGGGCGTTCCGGGCGTGCTCGGGTCGTCCAGGACGGCGGCCAGGAGGCCCGAGCCGTGGCCCGAAAGCCGCCAGGGGATAGGCCCCGGGGGGGGGGAAGTGGGAGGGCAGTGTTTAGTAACCCCATGGGGGCCACAGCGTGCGTGCTGCCCCCCCCCCTTCGCCTCCTCCTACCTCGAGGCCCGAGCCGTGACCCGAAAGCCGCCAGGGGATAGGCCCCAGGGGGGGGGGGGGGGAAGTGGGAGGGGAGTGTTTGGTACTCCAGATTTCGTAATAAAAGGGAGGGGGTCTGGACCCTCCAAGACAAGCCATTTCAGACCTCCCCCGTTGGAGAACCCCCCAAAACATCGTCCCCAGACCCCCCCAGGCCCTCCAAAATAGCCTGGAAGAGACCCCCCCCCGAAATGAGACCCCCTCCCTGTTATTACGAAATCCGGAGTAACCCCATGGGCCACAGCGTGCGTGATGCCCCCCCTTCGCCTCCTCCTGCCTCCCCCCCCCCAAAACGTCATGCTCCCGGGTGCGGTTGCAGCGGGGGCGCATGCCAAGAAACACCCTGCGCGCCTCCAGGGTGCCCTGGGCTTCTTGGGTTTCGATGGTTCTGCTATGGAAAGCGTAGCGTTCCCACACCAAAAATCAATGGACGCCCTGGGGTCTCAGGGTTGGGTTTCTTTTAGAAGGTTTCTTGTGGTCGGGCCCCTAAATTCCTGCACGCCGGGGTGTGGTTTGCGATCGGCGCCGTTGGGGCTCGAGGGGCACCAGGCTGCGCCAAAGCCGTGACGAGCCCCCGCTGGAGCGCGGCAGAGGTCTCTGCAGAGGTCGTCGCCCGCCCCCCCAGGGCGCGTGTTGCCAACCGCACCCTTTGAAAACCACACCCTCTGGAGTCACCGACCAGGGGGGGAGTGAGAGCCAAGCAGTGGCGAGCCGTCCTGGCTTTGGTGGTGCGCATGACGTGGTCTTAGAGCACTTCCGGCGCTGAGACGCTCTTGTTTTCATACCTCGCTTTCAGGTTTCAGGGGCAAGGCTGGGGTCATTCGAACGCTCATTGTGTTCTGAGGACAGTTCGTGCCAGACCCTGCTCAAGAGAGGGTGCAGGCCTTCTCGGATGGCGGCGGGGTTTCTCAGAAGGCATTGCGCCATTTGAGAAGTCGTCTAAGCCTTCTCCGAAGACACGTAAGATTCGGCAGAAGGCGCGAGGTGTTCTGGGCAACCCCGCCGCGCTCTGCGGAGACAGCATGCCCCCTCTTACTTTCACCATTGGCTCGCCGCCTGCAGACATCCCCGGGGGCAACACTAGGGGGGGGGGGGGCGAAAACTCTCGGGAGGGTTTGGGGAAGTTGCAGAGGTCTGGGGTGCCTTCTATCAGGTGCGCCTCGTCGAGGAGAGGAGGAGGAGGAGGAGGAGGAGGATGAGGAGGAGGAGGAGGAGGAGGAGGAGGAGGAGGAGGAGGGGGAGGAGGAGGAGGGGGAGGAGGAGGGGGAGGGGAGGAGAGGGCGGAGAGGAGGAGGAGGAGGAGGGAGGAGGAGGAGGAGGAGGAGAGGGGGAGGGG